ACAATTGGGAAAAGGGCAATGGAGACCCGACTTTCGACATACGGTCAAATCGACTTCCGAACAGCCTCTCGGTCTCCATTATGTCCACAAGTTGGGGACTTACTGTATTCAACAACCGGAAATCATTAACCTACTTTCGCATGTACACCTTATGCCCGTGCATGATGCATCATAAGAGAAATAATGAAAGGGATAACCGGAACTGGAAACTAATGACGTGCTACAGGCGAGGAACCCCTCCAATGCAGGCGGCTGGGCAGAATGTGACATAGACCAATGATCATCGCGTAACCACAAACCTTGCCCAATGCCCATGACCGTGACACAGCATGATGATGAAAGTAGGTCAGTAACAGTGATGTAACCAGTGACATTGGCCAATCACCACGACGTAATCACAAACCAATGACCATGACCACAACCAATGACCGTGATGCAATCAATAACCGGAAATCATTAACCTACTTTCACATAACAAACATTAACTAATCAATAACCATAACCGAAATCACTACCCATTGTCAGTGATATCTAACATAGAGATAGGTGCTACAGATGACTAATCTCGTCACTCCCACCCACACCACAATATTGATCATATTTGAACTTGTACCAGTATCAACAATTGACTCTGTTACAGTCAATTAGTACATAATTCGGCGAGAAATATAAATTTAGATGTATGCCTTGAAATGATGCCTAACACACTCACCTGAAGGGTGTTTCTCCCCCTCCCCTCTTCTCCAAATAGTATAGAATTTAAAGAAAAAAATAATATAAATTTCGATGTATGCCCTGTAATGATGCCTAACACGCTCACCTGAGGGGTGTCTCTGCCCCTCCCCTCCTCTCCAAAGCAAGAATAAGAATAAGAATAAGAGGAAGTAGAAGCACACAAACAAACAAAAATGCATGCAGCTGCTGACACACGCAAAGTCCGAGAACAGGGAACCTCTCCCTTTCCTACTGTCCCCCGATCCACATTCCCCCATATTCCGCTACAAAGCAATAATGGTAAGAGGAAGAAGACGCAAACAAACAAATAGCACAAAAGACCGATGAACATATTAGCTCACCCATTCCCTTCCATCCTCATCCCTACCTCTCACTCAGACAGCGTGCCCACCCACTAGCCACTGAAAGAGGGTAAATTAAATATTCTTAGCTCCTCTCCGGATGCGATGCGGTCAAGGATATTGATCTGAAAGGGATCATTGATACTGAGCCGATAATTACATTTAGCCTTCCGACATGTCTTGACACGTCGTTTACCTTAAATCGCCAAAGCATCCCAATATTAAGAATTCATTGCAAATCAAAAGGATTATAAAATTCGTTACTGTACTCAATATGCCTTTATTAATGTCTTCAAATATGCCTTTAGTACAAACAAACAGACAAATACAAATCATATCGGACGAGTTCCATATAACGATGATAATATGGGCATTTCTTCTAGCTCTGAGGTAAAGACGGCGGTGGTGCAGTCTCGCCTTGAGGTGTAACCATTCAAGAAAAGGAAATCCAATTTAACCCTTACTAAGACTGGCAATGTTATGATAAATATAAGACAAAAAATATATGCATCTGACAATATTCATTTCTCACTCCATATGCATATATATATATATATATATATATATATATATATATATATATATATATATATATATAATACTTGCAAAGACTATAATCAATATCTTTACAAATGTTTACAATTGCATGATATAACAAAGGTGCAACTCTAATAAAAATAACTCAACAGAAATGTCTACACTTCGCGGGAAAACGATTGATAAGCTTGCGAGCTCCTCTCATCTTTTAACATGTTATACTAGTCGTTCTTACATCCCAGAGGCATCTTCATAATAAAAATACAATTCAGTGAAAAGGATCATGAAACTCTTGTACTCAATATGCGATTAATATGACTTTCAAGTTACACAAACACGCGTCCTAATAGGTCAGTGGTTCCCAACCTTTTTTTCAGGTGACCCCAATTATGTTTTTCAAGATAGGACCGCGACCCCAATAATTTAGTTGCATATCTATGTGTTATTAAAACTATATATTACTAGTTGTCGGCTATAAAAGTACGGAACGACAACTATTATGAGTATGTGTAAGAGAGATACTGTAAGGTTGTGAAAGACAAAAGTAACATAATTGAATTTTATTAGAACTACAGCATTGTGAATTTTAAAGACTGACATTAATCAAAACAATCACTTCTAAAGTAATATTCTGTCACATTCCTCAAAAAATAAACTAAAAGGAGTACCTGTTTTCTGTGAAATGATAAATGAATTTCAATGGGAGCCTTGGGCCTGGATCATGTTGCTAAGTTTCTCTATTCGTGGTTCAGTCTTGGAAAGTGCTACCCTCAAATCATGTTCGGGTTGCAGTCGATTTCTATATCTTGTTTTGATGGCAGTCAGAGCTGCAAATCCTGATTCACACAAATAGGTTGTAGCGAAAGGCAACAACATTTTCACAGCCTCGCATCCTAGGACTGGTATTTTTCTTTACTAATCTTTACTAAGAGATCAACTAAATGGCTTAGATTTTTTTATTATAATACGTTGTCTGGCTGTAGCCTCCAGTAGCTAGAGACAAGTTTGATACAGCATTGGCAGTCAGGACTACTACATTTGAATAATTATATAATACACAAGCAAAAATTCGCAACTATCCCTCAACTAATATGTGATTGTATATCCTAGAATTGAAAATTGACTGTTTTAAGTTCGAGGACTTGGCGACCCCAGGAAAAACGCTTGGCGACCCCAAGGTTGGGAACCACTGTAATAGGTGATAACACAAATAAGATAAAAATAACAGGCTTATATTTTGTGTGTAAATATAAATTCGATAACTACCACTACATACGTTTGAAAATTGCAGGCTTATACTACAGGTTTATCATAATATAACAAAGGTGCAACCCTAATAAGAATAACAGAAATTTCTTAACTTCGCGGAACGATTGATAAGCTATCTTACATCCCAAAGGCATCTTTCT